ACTATGTCTTCGAGTCACCCAGTCCACCTACTATGTCTTCGAGTCACCCAGTCCACCTACTATGTCTTCGAGTCACCCAGTCCACCTACTATGTCTTCGAGTCACCCAGTCCACCTACTATGTCTTCGAGTCACCCAGTCCACCTACTATGTCTTCGAGTCACCCAGTCCACCTACTGTGTCTTCGAGTCACCCAGTCCACCTACTATGTCTTCGAGTCACCCAGTCCACCTACTATGTCTTCGAGTCGCCCAGTCCACCTACTATGTCTTCGAGTCACCAAGTCCACATACTATGTCTTCTAGTCATCCAGTTCACCTACTGTTTCTTCGTGTCGCACCTACTGTGTCTTCGAGTCAGCCCCAGTCCACCTACTATGTCTTCGAGTCACCCCAGTCGCACGTCTGTGTATTCGAGTCCTACTCCATACTATGTCTTCGAGTCAGTCAGTCCACCTACTGTGTATTCGAGTCACCCAGTCCACCTACTGTGTCTTCGAGTCACCCAGTCCACCTACTATGTCTTCGAGTCACCCAGTCCACCTACTATGTCTTCGATTTACCAACTACATTTACTTTGCCTTCGAGTCACCCAGTCCACCTATTATCGTCTCGTGTCACCCTGTCCACCTATTATCTCCTAGAGTCACCCAGTCCACCTACTATGTCTTCGAGTCAGTCAGTCCACCTACTGTGTATTCGAGTCACCCAGTCCACCTACTATGTCTTCGAGTCACCCAGTCCACCTACTAAGTCTTCGAGTCACCAACTACATTTACTTTGCCTTCGAGTCACCCAGTCCACCTATTATCGTCTCGAGTCACCCAGTCCACCTATTATGTCTTCGAGTCGCCCAGTCCACCTACTATGTCTTCGAGTCGATGTCCACCCAGTGCCTTTGAAATACCCAGTATTATTATCTTTTGAGTCACCCAGTCCACCTACTATGTCTTTGAGTCGCCCAGTCCACCTACTATGTCTTCGAGTCACCCAGTCTACCTACTACGTCTTAGAGTCACCCAGTCTACCTACTATGTCTTCGAGTCACCCAGTCCAACTACTACGTCCTAGAGTTACCCAGTCCACCAACTATGTCTTTGAGTCACCCAGTCGACTACACTGTCTTTCAGTCGCCCAATCCACCTACTATGTCTTCGAGTCGACCAGTTCACCTACAATGTCTTTGAGTCGCCCAATCCACCTACTATGTCTTCGAGTCGCCCAATCCACCTACTATGTCTTCGAGTCGCCCAATCCACCTACTGTGTCTTCGAGTCACCCAGTCCACCTACTGTGTCTTCGTGTCCTCCAGTCCACCTACACTGTCTTTGAGTCACCCGATCCAATTACTATGTCTTCCAGTCGCCCAGTCCACCTACAATGTCCTTGGGTCACCCAGTCCACCTATTATCGTGTCTTTCCACTTATTATCTCGCCCAGTCCACCTGCTATGTCTTCGAGTCGCCCAGTCAACCTACACTGTCTTCGAGTCACCCAGTCCACCTATTATGTCTTCGAGTCATCCAGTCCACCTACTATGTCTTCGAGTCACCCAGTCCACCTACTATGTCTTCGAGTCACCCATTCCACCTACTATGTCTTCGAGTCACCCAGTCCACCTACTATGTCTTCGAGTCATCCAGTCCACCTACTGTGTCTTTCAGTCGACCAGTCCACCTACTATGTCTTCGAGTCATCCAGTCCAACTACTGTGTCTTCGAGTCGCCCAGTCCACCTACTATGTCTTCGAGTCACCCAGTCCACCTACTATGTCTACGAGTTATCCAGTCCACCTACTGTGTCTTCGTGTCGCCCAGTCCACCTACTATGTCTTCGAGTCAGCCAGTCCACCTACTGTGTATTCGAGTCACCCAGTATACCTTTTATGTCTTCGAGTCACCCAGTCCACCTACTATGTCTTCGAGTCAGTCAGTCCACCTACTGTGTATTCGAGTCACCCAGTCCACCTATTATGTCTTCGAGTCACCCAGTCCACCTACTATGTCTTCGAGTCACCCAGTCCACCTACTATGTCTTCCAGTCACCAACTACATTTACTTTGCCTTCGAGTCGCCCAGTCCACCTATTATCGTCTCGTTTCACCCACTCCACCTATTATCTCCTAGAGTCACCCAGTCCACCTGCTATGTCTTCGAGTCACCCAGTCCACCTATTATCTCCTAGAGTCACCCAGTCCACCTATTATCTCCTAGAGTCACCCAGTCCACCTATTATCTCCTAGAATCACCCAGTCCACCTATTATCTCCTAGAGTCACCCAGTCCAACTGCTATGTCTTCGAGTCGTTAAGTCCACCTACACTGCCTTCGAAATACCCAGTACACCTATTATGTCTTTGAGTCACCCAGTCCACCTACTATGTCTTTGAATCGCCCAGTCCACCTACTATGTCTTCGAGTCACCCAGTCTACCTACTACGTCTTAGAGTCACCCAGTCTACCTACTGTGTCTTCGAGTCACCCAGTCCAACTACTACGTCCTAGAGTTACCCAGTCCACCTACTATGTCTTCGAAGTCCCCCAGTCCACCTACACTGTCTTTCAGTCACCCGATCCACCAAATATGTCTTCCAGTCGCCCAGTCCACCTACAATGTCCTTGGGTCAGCCAGTCCACCTACTATGTCTTCGAGTCAGCCAGTCCACCTACTGTGTATTCGAGTCACCCAGTCCACCTACTGTGTCTTTCAGTCGCCTAGTCCACCTACTATGTCTTCGAGTCACCCAGTCCACCTACTGTGTCTTTCAGTCGCCCAGTCCACCTACTATGTCTTCGAGTCACCCAGTACACCTATTATGTCTTTGAGTCACCCAGTCCACCTACTATGTCTTTAAGTCACCCAGTCCACCTACTATGTCTTCGAGTCACCCAGTCCACCTACTATGTCTTCGAGTCACCCAGTCAACCTACTATGTCTTCGAGTCACCCAGTCCACCTACTATGTCTTCGAGTCACCCATTCCACCTACTATGTCTTCGAGTCACCCAGTCCACCTACTATGTCTTCGAGTCATCCAGTCCACCTACTGTGTCTTTCAGTCGCCCAGTCCACCTACTATGTCTTTGAGTCATCCAGTCCACCTACTGTGTCTTCGAGTCGCCCAGTCCACCTACTATGTCTTCGAGTCACCAAGTCCACCTACTATGTCTTCTAGTCATCCAGTCCACCTACTGTGTCTTCGTGTCGCCCAGTCCACCTACTATATCTTCGAGTCAGCCAGTCCACCTACTGTGTATTCGAGTCACCCAGTCTACCTTTTATGTCTTCGAGTCACCCAGTCCACCTACTATGTCTTCGAGTCAGTCAGTCCACCTACTGTGTATTCGAGTCACCCAGTCCACCTACTGTGTCTTCGAGTCACCCAGTCCACCTACTACGTCTTTGAGTCACCCAGTCCACCTACTATGTCTTCGATTTACCAACTACATTTATTTTGCCTTCGAGTCACCCAGTCCACCTATTATCGTCTCGTGTCACCCTGTCCACCTATTATCTCCTAGAGTCACCCAGTCCACCTACTATGTCTTCGAGTCACCCAGTCCACCTACTAAGTCTTCGAGTCACCAACTACATTTACTTTGCCTTCGAGTCACCCAGTCCACCTATTATCGTCTCGAGTCACCCAGTCCACCTATTATATCCTAGAGTCACCCAGTCCACCTGCTATGTCTTCGAGTCGCCAAGTCCACCTACACTGCCTTCGAAATACCCAGTACACCTATTATGTCTTTGAGTCACCCAGTCCACCTACTATGTCTTTGAGTCACCCAGTCCACCTACTATGTCTTCGAGTCACCCAGTCTACCTACTACGTCTTAGAGTCACCCAGTCTACCTACTATGTCTTCGTGTCCCCCAGTCCACCTACACTGTCTTTGAGTCACCCAATCCACCAACTATGTCTTCCAGTCGCCGAGTCCACCTTCAATGTCCTTGGGTTACCCAGTCCACCTATTATCGTCTTGAGTCACCCAGTCCACTTATTATCTCCTAGAGTCACTCAGTCCACCTGCTATGTCTTCGAGTCGCCCAGTCAACCTACACTGTCTTCGAGTCACCCGGTCCACCTACTATGTCTTCGAGTCATCCAGTCCACCTACTGTGTCTTTCAGTCGCCCAGTCCACCTACTATGTCTTCGAGTCATCCAGTCCACCTACTGTGTCTTAGAGTCACCCAGTGCACTTACTATGTCTTCGAGTCACCCAGTCCACCTACACTGTTATTGAGTCGCCCAGTCCACCTACAATCACTAGGGAAAAGCGCTGGGCCAAAATCCATCTATTATATGGAAAGAATGAACAGAATAAAACACGGTGGATTAATAATCTGTAAGCACTAGGTGGCGTATAACAGCAGAACAGGACAGTGATTGATTAATCCTAGCTGTCTTTTTGGCCACTTGCAGCTCAAAAAGGTCATTTAGTTTTACATGACACGACCCTTAACTGACGTGCCCTGCACTGAACATCCAAGCTATCAAAACAAGCAAGTGATGACTCTCAAGATTTGATTAGGGATCTTACATGACTTCTTAAGATAGTTAAAAAAAGAAAGTCTCTTTTCACGCCTTTGGGTGTAAAGGGCATATAGGGCATATTTGCAAAGACCAATCAACCCAAGATGGGTGATGTGGTCAGCATCAAGCCGGTCGCCTTTACTTTCCAGGACAGCACCCGGTACCCACTCAAAGCTGTATCGACCAGGGAGTCAAGAACATTTTTGAAAACTTTTGAGGATATTTGCGTGAAAAGGGCAACATGTTTCAATAGACATAAATGTGGTAAATGACCCCTCTCCACGTCTTTAGTCGTATTGGGTATATAGGGCTAGACATATCTTTTATTGACCAATCGGCAGACGGTGGGTGATGCGGTCAACATCACACAGGTCGCCTTTACTTCCCAGGACTGAACCTGGTACCCATTTACGGCTGGATCGACCTGGGGGCCAAAGTTGTTTAAAAAAAAAAGGTCGGCTCCGTCAGGACCCGATCTCGAGACTTTCATAGAAATATGTTTTTTTTTTTTACCTCCCTAATCTTAAAATTAGACCTTGGATGTCTAACTCTGTTTCACATCGAGGGCTTGGGGGGAAAGGGGGGGGGGGGGTTATCTTTTTCTTGTCTTCCCTCATCCCATCTAAGTTTTGGGGGAATTGGCTCATCTTTTTCTTACCTTCCTTCAGTTACCACATCTAAAGCTTATGGGAATTGGCTTATCTACTTCTTATCTTCCTTCAGTTACCTCATATAAGGCTTGGGGAAATTGGCTTATCTACTTTTTATCTTCCTCCAGTTACCACACATAAGGCTTGGGGAAATTGGCTTATCTACTTCTTATCTTTCTTCAGTTACCACATATAAGGCTTGGGGAAATTAGCTTATCTACTTTTTATTTTCCTTCAGTTACAACATCTAAGGCTTGGGGAAATTGGCTTATCTACTTCTTATTTTCCTTCAGTTACCACATGTAAGGCTTGGGGAAATTGGCTTATCTACTTCTTATCTTCCTTCAGTTACCACATATAAGGCTTGGGGAAATTGGCTCCTCTTCCTCGTATCTTCCTTTAGTTACTACATCTAAGTCTTGGTGGAATTTACTCATCATCTTCTCCCTATCTTCCATCAGTTATCACATCTAAGGCTTGGGAGAATTGACCCATCTTTTTCTTTATTTCCTTCAGTTACCACATCGAAGGATTGGGAGGATTTATTCATCATCTTTTTATCTTCCTTCGGTTACCACATCTAAGACTTTGGAGAATTGGGACATCATCTTTTTATCTTCCTTCAGTTACCACATCTAAGACTTTGGAGAATTGGGACATCGTCTTCTTATCTTCCTTCAGTTACCACATCTAAGACTTTGGAGAATTGGGACATCGTCTTCTTATCTTCCTTCAGTTACCACATCTAAGACTTTGGAGAATTGGGACATCGTTTTTTTATCTTCCTTCAGTTACCACATCTAAGACTTTGGAGAATTGGGACATCGTCTTTTTATCTTCCATCGGTTACCATTTCGAAGACTTAAAAGAAAGGGGGGGGGGTGGCGGTGGCTCATCTTCTTCTTATCTTCTTTCAGTTACCACATCGTAGTCTTGGGAAAATGTATTCCTTCAGTTACACATCGTAAAAGAATTTGCCCCTTTTCTTCTATCTGCCTTTAGCTACATCATCGAATATCGTGCCGTTTTAATGGCCTCAGTGGCACTACATCGATTTACTTCTTAATAGATTCAACAAACGTTTGAAGGAAATCCGTTTTCTTGCGGGCGTTGGCTTAAGTATAAATTCAGACCGTGAGATAACTTGCAAGTTTCAAGCGGTATTGATCGGCCTGACGTCACAGCGTAGTTAAAGACGTGACAGAATCGGTGGAAAAGATACACGCAACTGCCTGTGTGGGAGTTCCCACTTAACGGTGCGTGCAGTAGCACGTCTTCCGGGTTGTTGTTTCTATTGAAGATTCACCAACTCATTTGGTGTAGAGGAAGAAAAAAAGCATCACACTTTTGTTCGTCTGATTATTAACTGGCAGTATCTAATCATAACATAAATAAAGACTTCTTGAAAGAAACTGACTAAGAGAACTGATTGCCAACATTAAAAAGAGACCATCTACATTCTTTCGTCAAGTGATGAGAAGGAGAAAACTCAAGTACATCGTGATGGTAGGAAAGTTGGAGAGGAGGAGAGGCAGGGGGAGACCTAGAGAACAGATACTGGACAGTTTCACACCATGGCATGGAAGATCTTCTGTGTCAGAGTTTACTAAATGTACGCCAGACATAAAGGTATGGATAGACATGACAACCAACGCCCTTCGGCATGGGCTTTGACAAGATATAATTCATTATTTTCTGTATTATTTATCTGGTTTCGTAACTCACTCACTCACCCACTCACGCACTCACTCACTCACCAACTCAATCATTTACATTTTTTTTAAACTCCTCAGAACTGTATTTGCCGTGGTAGGCAAAACAAACAATGTTTTTTTTTTTCTCACGTCTTTGACTTTTAAACTGATGTTTTATATTTTAATTTCCTTAGATCGCCGCAGTAGTACTATTTATATTTCTTTCGATAAAATCTTTACTAGATACTCCACAAAAAGCTTTGGTAACCAGGAAATCGATATCGGAGAAAAAGGAACATACTGCATACACACACACACACACACACACACACACACACAAGAATACGTACACAAGTATATAGTAGGCAAATGCCACAGCTTCGAGGATCATTTCTTGAAACCTAGGAAATCATTATTATCATCATCATCATTTTCTTTATCGTTTCCCGTAGAAGGATAGCTTACTCGTTTGTTTATGTGTGTTTTTTACAGCTACGCAGTGGTATCTATACCTTTCGGCCCCAAACTTCCGCAAAACAACTTTAAACCCTTACTTAATTGGTCACTTTTTACGACATCCTTGCTTAGTGGAAATTGATTTTTTTCCCCCCTGTTCCACTTCACCCCGCACCCAGAAAATGGCCCGGGAACACATACAAGGAAAATCTACCACATAATGAAGACTCTTAGTGTTTGCGCAATCGCTAATACAAATCACATAAATACTGTTTTAACTCATTTCTATTTTATCTTTTTCCCTGTTGTTTTTTAAAGGTAAATTTGTGACGTTTATGGAAAATGTTGTTGGCAACGCTAGTGCAGTGACCATCCTCGCAATCAGCGTGGAGCGCCATCGGGTGGCCTTTAGGTCATCGACGGCCACTACAAGTATCTGCAACGTTTGTAGATCATTCTTGACTATATGGCTGACCTCGTTTCTTGGAGCTTTCCCTATGTTGTTTATCACTCAGTTTACACAAGCAACATATGTTGACGGTAAGCTCATCTGCGCATCATTTGTGTTTGTTCAGATTTCCATTTTTTTTTCTGCGCTTAAATTAATGGTTTGTATTTTTGTTAAAACTACTTATATCTCACAGGAAGCTGGAAGTAAGCATTTTGCATAATAAATAATTGTTGTTTGTAATGGTCGACATTATTTGTCATCAGAACTGGTACTTGAATTCGTGACCCTGAGATTAAAATATCTTAATCAGCAGAGCAAGTTTTAGATACCCCGCTAAAACTCCAAAGAAATTGTAATTGGGACATCCATAGCGGTCCTTAAGAAAGAGAATAGGGGCCTTTGAGATGAAATGCCATAGAAAGATTCTCAGAATATCATGGAAGAAAAAGAGGAAAAATACTGACATCTTGAAAGATCTGAACATCAAGGAAGGTTGGCTAATAAACAGCATGCTGTCTCAGATGCTGAAATATTTTGGTCATACAACTGATTGGAAAAAATTATAGCATAAGGCACGCTACCGGCCTAAAATAGCTACCAGGTAATGCCTTTTGAGATGAAGCAATACTGGTTATGACCTGTGTGTTGGGATGAGACCAACTGTAACGCCGTGACTAGCCACTTGTCTGCCAACCCAAAGGTCGTGAGTTCGAATATTATTATATTATATGACTAAACATGGGAGTCAAGGTCAAATTTTGTTTATGGGTAACAGTCCGGCTCCGTCAAGACTTGAACCCACGACCTCAGATTGGCAGGAGAGCGTCTAGTCGTTACTCCACGGCAGCTGCCCATTTCTTCGTACCATGTTAAAAAGATGTTTTTTTTTTTTTTCAATGATTGATTGGTTATAATGTTCGCTTTGTTTTGACTGATACCTTTTCATTATATTTTTGCAGCTTCAACAAAGTTCACTTATTTCGCCAAAATCGTGTGTCTTGTCTTTTTTGCTATGGTTGTTTAAATCAGTTCATTTTTTAATTTCCTTTTAGATGCCCCTGAAGAAACTATATATTTTGTTGTTCATACCTCTGGTATTGTCAGTTTACATAATGTGCCGATTAAGGGTATTTAAGCGCAATGTTAACTCGTCGTTTGTGTTGTGATATTGTTAATTCTTTCAGTACTTACCAACTCGCTAAGCGTTATTGTATTTCTGCATAGAACGAACACTTTTTTTTTCCCTGAGTGTGTATGTCTTATTCTTCCCATACCTAAATCTTGGAATTAAAAAAAAAGATGTGATTGAAAGTCAAAATCATGTCTTTTATGTTAACTAGTTAACAGGTGCTGAAACACATATTGGGATACACATATGCCGAAGATCCTGGGACTGAAAGAGTTAAGCCAAGGCATTCTCCAGCTACTTGACGATGGGGCACTCCACCTCAGCTATGCGCCGTAGGCTAACCCGTAGGCAGACGCAAAATGCCACTAACATTTTTTTAATGTGTTCGATTTTATTTTTGTCTTCATTGAAAAACAATAATAAGTAATTTTCACCTTCACTTTTGATTTTCTTATAAGTGATATTTTCTTGGAATATATTTAATAAGTTCCCTATCTGAGTCTCTTTGTTTTTATGTTCAATATATTGTGTTTTCGCGGAGCAGCATCTCACAGGTCAAAAGAAGAAAAAAAGGATAAACTATATGTTCTATGATCTGAAAACGGTCTTGGTTAAGCTGACTGCTTCTACCCTTCCTTTGCTTTTATATTCTATGATTTTTGTGTTACGATGTGCTGTCTGTGCAGAAACATTCTTGCTATCTACAGGGACCCCAGTGTCGAGATGCGAGACACCAATCGACACGCCGTGGCAGAAAGTCTACATTGTGGCCAGTACACTCATATATTTCATATTGCCCTTGTTTATGATCTTGTTGCTGTATACTAAGGTAACTGTCTTTATAACAGTCGTCTTTGTTTTCATCTCTTCCTCCTTCTGCTTCTCCTCCTCTTTATTTTTCTTCTTCTTCGTCTTCTTCTTCTTCTTCTTCTTCTTCTTATTCTTCTTCTTCTTCTTCTTCTTCTTCTTCTTCTTCTGCTTCTTTTTCTTCTTCTTCTTCTTCTTCTTCTTCTTCTTCTTCTTCTTCTTCTTCTTCTTCTTCTTCTTCTTCTTCTTCTTCTTCTTCTTCTTCTTCTTCTTCTTCTTCTTCTTCTTCTTCTTCTTCTTCTTCTTCTTCTTCTTCTTCTTCTTCTACCTTTTCTTCTTCTTCTTCTTCTTCTTCTTCTTCTTCTTCTTCTTCTTCTTCTTCTTCTTCTTCTTCTTCTTCTTCTTCTTCTTCTTCTTCTTCTTCTTCTTCTTCTTCTTCTTCTTCTTCTTCTTCTTCTTCTTCTTCTTCTTCTTCTTCTTCTTCTTCTTCTTATTCTTCTTCTTTCTCTTTTTTTCTTCTTCTTCTTCTTCTTCTTCTTCTTCTTCTTCTTCTTCTTCTTCTTCTTCTTCTTCTTCTTCTTCTTCTTCTTCTTCTTCTTCTTCTCTTCTTCTTCTTCTTCTTCTTCTTCTTCTTCTTCTTCTTCTTCTTTTTCTTTTTCTTTTTCTTCTTCTTTTTCTTTTTCTTTTTCTTCTTCTTCTTCTTCTTCTTCTTCTTCTTCTTCTTCTTCTTCTTCTTCTTCTTCTTCATCATCATCTTCTTCTTCTTCTTCTTCTTCTTATTCTTCTTCTTTCTCTTTTTTTTCTTCTTCTTCTTCTTCTTCTTCTTCTTCTTCTTCTTTTTCTTTTTCTTTTTCTTCTTCTTCTTCTTCTTCTTCTTCTTCTTCTTCTTCTTCTTCTTCTTCTTCTTCTTCTTCTTCTTCTTCTTCTTCTTCTTCTTCTTCTTCTTCTTCTTCTTCTTCTTCTTCTTCTTCTCCCCACCCCCACACCTTCTTCATTTGTTCAACATGCATCCCTCTTCTTCCAGTTTACCTAAAAACGACCCTATCATGAACAGTGACTTCTGTATTTAATTAAAATCACACACACAAACACACACGCACACCCATACACCATCAAAGTGCTGCATCCGTTTAGCTTCCACAGGAAAACATATTGAAATCGGCAGGGAAATAAAGAGTTGTAAATGCCTCAGGTTGCTTGTCATGTTTTCAGTGCTGCCAGCGAATTCTAAAAGTACTTTTTCTGAGCTTTATATTCTCATCGCCCCTGGGAGATCCTGGAAAGTGTACCCGCACTTTTGTAACGACGACGGGACGTCTATCAACAGATGCTATGTTTAGCTTATTGAAATTCAAGCATGGTTCCAATCGACAGAGACAGTGTCTGGTATAGCACTAATTCACCATTGTCGCCAGTGGTTCGGGCATTGCAGAAGTCATCATGGCACCGCTCGTTTTTGTTCTCGCAGAACGGCAGTAAATAATTACTTTTAAAATTTAATTCGACATTACTTTGCGTCTGTTAAAAAAGAAAATTCAGATGATGATGGTGTTTGTGGTTGTGGTGGGGTGGTGTCACAGACCTCGGGGTGACCTTGCTGGTCCGTGGCTCGTAACTGGGCCTATGACAGACAAACTAACCTTTGGCACACACTGAACCCGAACGCACACAGAGCACACACGACAATCTTTATTGCAAGTACAGGTAAAACAATAGACAGTTGACTTCCCGCTGTGTGGCCACCTATTGTCTGGACCCTCTGGCCGAACGAGCTTTACAATCGCCTCGCTCTCCAATCTGTTCCAAGGCAATCTCCTGGTGCACAAAACACAGCTAGGCGAAATACTTTCTTTTCAATCGTCACGCTGACCTACCAAGATGTCACCGCCTCTGTCTAGTGCAGGGTCAGCGTGACAAGGTTAGACATTCTCTCACAGAACATGAACCTAACCGATTTAACTGGTGAGAAGTAACTGGACACTAGTTTCTTTTTCTGGCACAACACAATACCTTGTATCGGTTAAATACATAGGCACAAAAGACTATCCTATTCTAACAGAACACTGTAAGTAATCTATGCAGTCACTAAAGAAATATCCTAACTCTAATATACTATCACTGTCTCGCTAACACGTCTACTCCGTCCCAACGCTGTACACCGAATCCCCTGTGTTCTTTCGCCTCGTGTCTTTTGACCCGTTCACCTGCTCAGTCCCCAAAGGGGTAATCGTGTTGCGAACTTGTCTGCAACAGAGTTCACTCTTTCTTGTCGTTGTCAAGTGGTTTCTACTGAGCGGTAGTTTCACCGTGCAAACAGCACAAACTTTGTCAATCACGGCATTGACCTTTGCGTCAACCCTGGGGTGTCACCTGAACACGGTACACTCTACGGTGTGGTCCATTCCGCCACTGACTGTACTCACAGGGTTGTGACAGGTGGTGATGATGATGCTGAAAATGATGATGATGGCTGTGTTGGTTTTGATAATAAAGACGACGATGGCGGGGTGGGGTAACAAGTCAGCTAGTCTGTCGTTACGCTCGTCTTTGTTGGATCCATTCCTAATTCCTCGTTCACACATTCTCTCACGTGTTTTTTCACTTAACCTCGTATCTACTATCAGCATTCGTTTATAAATGGTCGTCAGAATCTCCCGTGTCCAGTACGAAGGTTCCTGTAGGTATTGCTTTTATAAGCCAGAAAACCCACTCTTTCATTCCCTGGTAATCCTGCATATCCCGGACAGTATGCTCTTTAACTTATACTTACTTACTGTTTGCCAGGTTTATATGAAATTGATGATGCTGTTCAGAAGAGAGCAAGAGATGTCTTTGAACTATCCAGGAGAGATCGTTCGGCTAAAGCGGCAGATGACCCAGATTATCATCACTGTAGTTCTTGTTTTCTTCATTTGTCACACGCCTTTCAGGTAAATGCGTGTTGTCTTTATCTTGTCATTCGTTCTCGTGAACCAAAGCCTCAGACTCTACATCATTCCTCACTGCCATAGCCTAGAATCACCGAAGCTTGAGGCTTGTAAACTTCCAGCCCCACAGACCGGGGGGGGGGGAATTTATTCGTGGGCGGCATAGCTACTAATTCCCTCCCCCCCCCCCCATCCCCCCTATCCTTCCCCCTACAATCATTTGTTTTTCTCCCAGCCATATATAGTTAGTTCTCTTTTCATATTTGTGTTTATATTTATATATGTGTATATATATATATATAAATATATATATATATATATATATATATATATATATATATATATATATATATATATATATATATATGTAATGACTGCCCTTTTTTGTGTCTCCTCCACACTGGCTATCTGTGGTGCAGAGTTAACACTGGCTCTAATGTCTAGAGGTTCACAACTCAATCAAAGCAGACATGATCCTCTTCATGGTCACACAACGTCTAACAACGGTTAACACCAGCGGCACATTTCACGAGTTTATTTACACGTTAGCTCAATACGCAAATCACAGGTGAATCCACTTACAGCATTCGGACAATAGACGTTGACATATTCACAGCTGGCTTTGACAATCAAACAGGGTACCATCACAGCTGGCCTTCTCGATCATTCATTCCTCGCCGATTCAGATCCACATGCTCTAGTCATTCTCCATTCATCTTCACAGCTTCATTTCCCATCCTTTCTCTCTGGGGCCCAGTCACCGAATGCCCACCTGATTCTCAATCCCCCAGATCTCCTCATTCACACGTGACACACTCTTTCCTGTCGTTTCACAATATCTCCGTGAAACACATGCTCTCAGGGACTTCCCCAGTTATGCCAATCATCCCCTGACATTATCCCTATTTATAACATCATTACAATATATATCTTTGTCATTAAGAGTTAGATAAATAATTCTTGCTTTCTACATTCATTCAGTTTTACCATATTGCTGTGAGTCCAGGTCAATCGGTAGGCAGGCCAAACAATTTCTTGAGACCTCAGTGATGCGGTTTTACAGAAGAATATTTAAAATACTTTAGACAGCCAAAAAGCGCAACCAAGAGGTTTTTAAGAGGAGGAGGCCCGAAGACAACTTATCACAGACATCAGAAGGAGATAGTCATCATTTTTCGCCCATGTTATGAGAAGAGGGAAAATGGAACATGTTGTGACCATTGTTAAGATCTGTGGAAGGGGCGATAGAGGAAGACAACGAGGAAAGATTCTTGTTGCATGGCATGGAGGTGTGTCAGCACACAAACTGATACATGCTGCAGGAGATCATAGATTGTGGGTAGGGATGATCAACCACGCCAGTCGGCAAGGCACCTGATGATGATATATATATTTTTATATATAAGTTTGCATTTTCAAATCCCCGAAACTTCGTTCACCTCTTTAGCCATATGGCAGGGTTATACTGGGGCACCACAAAGCAGCTGCCAAGTAACCGGCAGTCCACTGTGGGTGTGTGTGTCCAATATTTATAGACCATCAAGCATATTAATAAAATCATCACCATCATCATCATTATAAGTATATAAGCAAAACTTAGGCTCCCTAAAAGACTCCTTTTTAGAAAATGTACCAGTTAACACTCTTAAATAGATAGAAGAACATCGCTGTAGCTATGGGGTTGCGTGCTGACGGCGACACAGGCGGACACATTCTCATCACATGACTCTACTGGCGGCAGAGCACTTATGGTTTATAACCTTATGCAATGACGCTGGTTCATATCTCCCGACTGTACTTTTTTTTAATACATAACACACACACACAAACACACACTCACACACACACCCATCCATCCATCCATCCATCCATCCATCCATCCATCCATCCATCCATCCATCCATCCATCCATCCATCCATCCATCCATCCATCCATCCATCCATCCATTCATCCATCCAAGACAAGAATAAGAGAGTGTTTTCAGATCCATTGCAGCCAGCCTTCATTGTGGATATGGCAGCTGGTTGATTTCTCAAACTCTTCATATCAATCTTTCTCACTGTAACTGATTAAGATATACAGTATAGATTATTCTTCATCCTGTCAAATGCTGCTTTTTTTTTGCTTGAGCTATTCTGCGTTACGTGTAGATGTTCCGTATTCTATATCTGACAACATGAGTAACGTACAAAAACAATACTGGGCAAGCTCTACCCCCGTAAACATGTTTTTTTGCGGGTGAAGTGACTAAACCTTTTCAAGTTGATAATAATAATAATGTGCTGTCCGCGTGCAGTGGATCCAAAGTCTATTTGGGGGTAGGGTGGTGGTGGGCTGGTAAAGGGAAGTATAACCACCCCACCCCCCCCCCCCACAAGAATGTTTTAAAAGGCAACTAATGGGTGGGGTGATTCCATTTGGCTAAGGGAGTGGGGCTGGGGGGGCAGAAGAGATCCACTGCCCCATGACAAGAAGGTTGTAAATAGCAATTTATAAGGACTTTTCTTTTTTCGAAGTCGGTTTGCATCTGCCAGAGAGCCTATGAACAAACTGTCTGCATACAAATAAGCTAGATCTGCACAATGGTTCTCTCAAGTATTGGAACAACTCTTAAGTCCACAGAGCAAGCAGAAGTTTCCGTCTGATTTTACAGCTGGTCAACGTGAAGTAGTAGAAGAAGAAGATTGTACCGAATTTCAAAATAATATTTAATAATAATAATTAAAATAATATGTTCAAAATATACAAAGGTATACATAAAAAAGAGACTTCTTTAAATGATTGGGTGGGGGAAAAGGGCGGGGGGGGGGGAGGGTAGGCTTCGCTTCTTTACATATTTAGTTAGGAGCTAACCTCCCACACCCTACCTTCAACTTTTTTGTGCAGATGGGAGTTTAAATGGCCTCAGGCCACATGTTTCGGAGCCCTTGTTTGACACAAATCACACAAGCGGGCATACACGCTATCTAAACCACAGTAGGATTGCCTAGTCATCGATTGGCCTCAGCCGGAACTCCAACAAGTGAACGCTGAGTAGAGAAACGGATATCCGCTGTTTTCTGTGCACTCTCATTAGGGGGACATTCTGTGGATTTGGCTGACACTCAGATTCTAGACCAATTTCTTTGTACTTTCACTGAAATAAACATGTGACATTTTCTTTTCGTTTCCTACTTCCTACGTCTTGCGTCATTGTCGGGCCCACGGTAGTGTAGTGAACAGCATCTAAGAAAACTAGGGTCATTGCCATAAGCGCTCCATCCCCATCTTTAGTAACCCGTACAGAGTTGCAAAACCAGTTGTGCCAGTAGCAAGCACTCTGATTATACGTCCCTCTTGCCTTTCTCCTGAGTGTCAAATATTGACTAGAAACCGTCCTCACTCCCCGCTGCATCAGTCTCACCAGACTGGCACTAACCATTTGCTGCGAACTGCATATGTTCTCCAAGAAATCTCAATATGGAAATCAAGCCAACAAGGCAGATCACATATATCCCCGTCCAGCATCGAAAGAGGTTACAATTAGAGCCAAAGATGAGGTAAAGATGAGAGGGTCGACTTCTTTGTACCAGGTTTAATTCCATAAGGCTCAGTCTCTCTCAGAAGAACAGCTAGCTGCTGTCAAAAACGTCGCACATAGCACGACATCCAGAACTCCGGTGACGATCCCCAGAAAACTTCTTGAAAAATTGCACTTGTAAATTGAACGACGCCGCCGTGAAACGAGCTCCAGGCCTTTAGAACGCGTACAGATACGCAAGTCAGGGGCAGCCTACAGTCCTGTGAGTATAACGTTAGTTAGTTGCATATCCTTTACAGGACGTTGTAAAACCAACCCCAACAGCCCCTGGCTGTTGTGTGGTTTTTCTAGGCAAATTTACGTCCAGTATTTTGTCATTGTTCCTGGACGGTCGGCTTTCTTGATACCACTGTCGAAACCAACGCAAGGCGCATGGCCCGCAGTTGGGATCGAACCCGGCATTACGAAGCGTTTGCATCGACTTAGCCACAGAGCCGACGTGAGTATAAGGACGGTAATGAAATGGGCCATTTCTCTTAGGTCTGCCCGCCTTAAATGAGCATCAGGAGAAGTCTTGGGGTGCAAAGGCGACCGCAGTGAGATTGATTACGTAGCTTTTATCGTGCTGAGTTGCCCATATCAAATAGGTCCAGCGATATTTGCCTAATGCGAAAATTACGTGAGTCGTGTCCTTTACTTTTCTTACCTCTTCCTTTTCTTTCTCTCCTTCGTTTCTCTCTCTCCCATTTCTCTCTTACTTACTTTCTTTCACTCTCCCTCTTTGTTTCTTCCCCTCCCCCCCCCCTCGTCTTTACCTCGGTGTCTGTATTTCTGTATTTCTAAAGGTATGACATATCACGGAGTGACTGAAGTCAACCACATGTAATGAAAAACGGTATATACCACATACTGTGACTAGAAAACTCAACAGAGTCTATAACAAAGATGCTGCAAGTAGAATCGAATGATTCGACCAAAGTCTTTATCAACAGGCAAGACCCAAAAACTTATAAACAACTAAGATCAACGTAGAACCAGAAATATGAAATAGAAAATTGTGTAGCCACGAAGAGAAATATTAGGGAACGAAAAAAAAAATCGAGGTGCATAAAAGACTGTAACTTCTGAGTTCAAACAGCATTTTCCATTTCCGCAGAACCATTGCCTTATGGAGCATGTTCTCACCGCCTCATGCTGCTGAAGGCATCGACTTCATCACTTACATAACCATGATCTACATGACCAGAATACTGTGGTACTCCAATCATGCAATCAACCCTTTTGTCTACAACTTTGTTTCAAGGTAAGTTTGTAAAGGATCCTGTTCTATGCTCTTAGGCGTGTGTGGTGTATAGCCTTCTTCTTTCGCTTTCTATCCCCCAGTGGAATATAGATCCTCAATGAACTCATGCCAAGTCGTTTGATCCTTGGCAGCTGCATACAACTGACCCAACCCCATGTCCTCACAATCTTTTTAACTTCAATCTATAGCTCCATTCTCCATGAGTGTGTTTGTGTGTGTGTGTGTGTGTGTGCGTGCGTGCGTGTGCGTGCGTGCGTGTGTGTGTGTGTGCGTGCGTGCGTGCGTGTGTGTGTGTGTGTCTGTGTGTGTGTATGTGTGTGTGTGTGTGTGTGTGTGTCTGTCTGTGTGTGTGTCTGTGTGTGTGTGTCTGTGTGTGTCTGTCTGTGTGTGTGTGTGTGTGTCTGTGTGTGTGTGGGTGGGTGGGTGGTGTGTGTGTGTGTGTCTGTGTGTGTGTGTGTGTGTCTTCTTTATTTCTAGCCCTTGTGGGTTCCAGTGCAAAGATAGTAAAGTAAAGATTCACTTTCACGCCTTTATGCGCTTCGGGCAAATGGGAAGAGCACCACCCATATTATTACAGACCAATCTGCACTAGGTGAGTAATGAGGTCAGCATTACGCCGGTCGTCTTAGTGCACAGATATTCGTTTATAGTTATATTTGTATAATTTATTTCTGTACTCGCTGCCAGTGTCTGGTAAATATATGAGTGGCGGGGGAGAGGGAAGGTTGAGATCGTTTCCGAAGCAATTTGCTTGTTTTTCCCGTCTATGTTCGTCATTCTTGATTAGGTGACAAACAGGAGGTGCACTCAAGGACACCGCCAATCTCCTACTCTCCCCGCCCGCCCCCCCCCCTATCCCCCCCCCCCAACCCCTACAGCTTGTCTTGCATGGTAAGTGTCCTGAAATGCACTACATACGTCAGATAACTTGTATCACATATTCAGTGTAGGTGCACTCTAAGATTGCTAAAGCAATTGTCTGTTGCTTTATACATCATATTTATAAAAGTATGTTGCCCGGCTGGCTAGCGTAGTTGGTTAACCCTGACTTCGCGGTGACCGGGTGACAAACTTCTTGTGGTCCGTGTTCACGCCTGGGGGTAGACAGAAATGCCACATTTCTCCCAGATTTACAATCAAGGCCGAATGGCTGTGATATCCATAGTACCGAGCCAAAGGGTTAACAACTCGTGGTTTTTGGATATTTAAAAAAGAGATATATATGTATAAGCATGAAATGTAAAGGTAAAGTCGGGAGATGCGAACCAGCATCATTGCACACGGTTATAAACCATAAGTGCTCTGCCACCAGTACGGATAGCTGAAAAGAAACTGTCTGCCTGTCTTGTCGTCCGTACGTAACTTCGTAGCTACAGCCATGTTCCTCCATTTACTCCAGTGTCATGGAAGAATGTGATAAGAGGCACCCTCTCCAGGCGTGAGGCGGAACTCGAAGAGATATGAGGCGGTGGACTGGTCCGTCTTAGCAAACCAGGCTGCTGTCCCACCCCACACGACAAACACTACAAGAAATGGCAAGTCACTTAACAAGCATAGATTAGCATGAGGCCTCTATGGTCACGCCCCCCCCCTCCCCACCCCTGAGAAGGAGGGGATATGCGTTATGCTGGCTCTGGTGGTGAAGAGACATTATTTTGTCACAATACAAGTTACATTTAAAAAAAAAAAATAAAGTAAAGGACACTTGGGCCATGATGGGTTAAACGTATATTTTATAGATCAATCGGCGTGCGATGGGTGATGTAATAAACATCACGATGACCGCCTTTACTGGTCAGGATTTTGTACTTATTTAAATCTGGATCGACCCAGAAGCCGAAGGTCATTTTAATCCACTAAAAAAGGTTTCGCAGGTGAACGCCTTGCCACTACACCACGGCCACTATTTTTCACAGATAAAGCAAAAGTTTTGATTTTAAAAAAATTATAATAATTCCTGCTTGTTTATGATGGAGGGCAGCTAAGGGTACATAAAAAGCTGGGCGCGGAGCCTGGAGTGATTTCACAGGGTATATATACTTGTATATGTGCTTGTAATCAAATGACCCTCTATACAAACAGTGGTGCATCAAGATACCAGGAGTTTCTCTTCTGTCACATACCGCTCCTGTCACGTGCCTGATTTAAGGATGTCTCCTCGGTTGATCTCTAAGGAGGTATCATCCCAAGCTTAGGAATTCTTCAAAGATAAAACTGGTACTTTGAATGCGCCAATTTTATTCATAGACTGTATACACGTCTTGACACTTTGGAGATCAGGCGAAAGAATGCCGCTCAAAACCCCCTCTAGCGTCTCTAGGAAAGAAGTCCCCGTATTCATGCCAAAGGAGTAAACAGGCTTACAGGAATTTCTGAATTATACACCAGAAATATTTATCCCACAGTTGCAAGTTTGAAAATGTTGACTTCTCAAAGCAACTAAAGGATCTAGAAATGATTTTTTCACCAAATAGAGGTATATATCAATATAAGGGATTATATACCCCTCCGGAGGGGTTTAAGTTTAAAATGTGACGCGCCCGCTTAGGGAAGTCAGCGTCACGACTCGTCCATAGTGTAGGGTTGGCTGTTCACTCCACGACATCTTCGCAGTGATGAAACGTCGCAAGCTAGCTTGGTACGGGTACGGGTGAGACATGATTCGGTTGCAAATACTCTACTTCAAGGAACATTGGGTGGGGAAAGGGGGGGGGGGGTTTGCAAAGAAAGACGGGGGAGGGGTTGTAAGTCGAAGCATAGGAGGGCAATGAAGATCTGCAATGACAACATCGAGAAATTGACAAGACTCAGTTATCATATACTTATTCATCAAGCGGAAGACAGATTACGATAAGGGGTTTTTGTGTGTTAGTGCTTTTATCGATACACCTACACGATCCCAAAGGGTTATGTTATGTTTTGTTATGTTATGTTCCCGGTATTTGATGCTAAACTCATAATTTCATAAACAAATCAGCAACGAAAGAAAACAGACACCTGCGAAAATAGATATTTGAGGACTGCGTAAACAAAACTAGAAGCGAGCATGTGATAAACAAGGCAATCAAACGAATTCTTCAAAAACATTTATAATTGAATTCATGGGGAAAAAAAGTCTGGTTCGGCCATTTAATAAAAAGAATAAAGTTAAAAGTCGAAAGGATCAACTTTATTGCACTGGGTGTTATCCCATATAACTCGGTCTCTCTCAGCATAACGGCTAACTGTCAGCCGTGTACATCACACAGAGAACAAATCCCTTAGCTCCGACTTCGATCCTTGGGGATCCCCTTTGAAATTGAACTCGTGAACGATACATCCGTGAAACGAACCTCCGCCTTCAGAGCACGCGGCAAACGGCTTGACCACATCGAGGCGAAGACACTCATTTAATTAGAATTAACCAAATGATACTGGCATCGTTACTATGACATCCAAACATAAGTATGAACCACACACAAAAACATATTATAAACAGAATATTTATACCAACAGTATGCTGCTACTTCCAGACTTTGACATTCTCAAAGATTAACCTACGTAAAATTACCACATGTGAAATTAGATGCGTTAGAAAAGCCGCCTGCCGAACCATCTGAGACAAATTTAGAAATGATATTATCAGACAGACTGTAGGGACAACACCATGCAGCAAATTCATTGGGGAAACAGAAGATCAAATGGTTTGGTTATTTAGTAAGAATGCAGCCAAAGCAAGTACCCATGCGGGCGTCACACATGAAAAGATCTTAAGTAAAAGCAAAAGGCCGTCCTAGGAGAAGATGGGTTTAGGACATTCAAGAGCCTCAACATCGATATGGAATGACACTAGCCATTGCTGGCCATCAAGCAATGGATCGTAATCTGTTCCTCCCCACAACGCTTAACAGCAGAAGTGAAAACTAAGAGCGTACTAAATGACAGTAGAAACACCAGGATGTAGGGTATGACCAATAAGCAGATGGATTGAAGAAGTCACGGATACCTTAAGATTCCACAAGGTCACAGCATGCCAATCAATCGAGCGTGTCCTAGCTCAGAAACCGATCACCTCTTAGCCGACGACGCGCATAAAATAGACAATAGTTAGAAAAAAAGAAGAATCAGCTATTGGTGGGTGATTATCGTGAACATCAAGCCCTTCGCCTTTACTTTACAGGACATTACGTTGTGCTCATTTTAGTCTCCGTTGACCTGGCAGGCAGGGTCAATTTTTTATGGTCTGCTTGTTTCAGAATCAAACCCAGTTCCTTGGAAGCGGCAGTTGAGAATCCGGCCACTATGCCACATTCGCTCCCACATATGTGTATATAAAGGTAAAAATAAAGTCGGGAGATGTGAACCAGCGTCATTACACACGGTTTTAAACCATAAGTGCTCTGCCACCAGTACAGACAGCAGATAAGAAACTGTCCGCCTGTGTCGCCGTCGGCACGTAACTCTGTAGCTACAGCGACGTTCCTCCATTTACCCTAGAGTGTCAACTCTGGTACCCATTTCCTAGAGGCTGGGTGAACCCCGGGAACCGCCTGGTTTCGAACACCGACCGTGGCTGCAGCGAGTCGCAGTTGGATTTGAAATCAAGCCTCCTATCGACGGTGCTAACGCGGCCCCGCTTATATGTGTGTATATGTGCTATGTTAGTTTTATGTCACGCTATAATTTAACATTATACTGTTTTAACCTTTGTACAGAAAATTTCGCCGTGCCCTTATCTGGCTGTGCTGCGAGAAGCGACGAAAACATGCTCGATTGGAGGAGTTGAGAGATTTGGTGTGTAACAGGCAGCCCATTAGGTAAAGCTTTTATGGAGAATTTTTACATTTAGACGACCGGGTTTCCCTCGAAACGTAACCTAGAAAAATCGCTAGCAAGATTGTTGGTGATTTATTAATATCCTACCCTAAACAAAGGGAAATCCACAGGCCACGGGACAGTCTAATATTTCAGGGGGTGGTATATAGGCTGCATGCAGTCAAATGACCTAGGCTGCATGCTGTTGTGGGAATTTGGCTGCACTCTCTCATGGGAAATATTTGTGTAGGTGTTAGGGTCAGTTCTAAATGTTTTGGGATCTTTAGAAGCATCAGAAAGCCGGGAAACACAGTCTTACAACCCTTTAAAATTTTGGACTGTCCTGTGACGTTATCTCGGGTAGGATATTAATAAAGCAACAGATTTTTTTTTCAGGACGTTTAAAATATAAACGCTACTCCATAAATATGCCATAGTTAGGATCAATATCCAGATTGACGGGCCATTGAAACATTCGACGGGAATGCTGAATTCAGTAAATCAATCAGTCAGGTGGCGTCTTCACAGTTAGAGTTGGCTGCAATGGATCATTAACACGCTCTGTCTCTTGTCCTGGTTGTACTAGACCGCTGCCCGTACATCTCTTGAAGTTTTCCTCCCACTGGTATCGTTGCCTGCCTCTTGCTCTCTTGTCTTCGACCTTTCCCACCAGTATGGCTTTAAAAAGCGTATTATGTCTTTTAATATGATCAAATTATTTTAGTTGTCTTTTTTATTTATTTCTGTAATTCTGTTTTTGTTTGTAGCCGATTCAGAACCTCTGTAATGGACTTTTTGTTTCCATGAAATATGAATTTTCTTCTGTCTACACACATCTCTAGAGACTCAATTCGATTGTCTAGTTGCTAGTTCATCGCCCACGTGTCTGCATTATGTGTAGGACTGAGTATACATAACAAATAATGATTCTCATGTTTAGTGTGTTGTATATCATCTCTCTTGTCGTCAATAATTTAATCATCTTATTGAAGTCAATTTTAGCCTTTAATATTCTATTTTTGATTTCTGTTTCGCTTCTTCCATTATCACATTAATTTATTAAAATTGAATAGCACGCGTGATCATACGCGTGGTTGAAAATGATCTATATATAGATACAAATCAATATATGTCTGTTTGTGTTGTATAGACTCGGAAATTATTGAACCGATTTAGCTGAAAAATACAGGAATTGTATGTTTTGATGCCAGGATGCTACCTATCATTGTTTAAAAAAGGTAACGATGACAATTTTCGAAACATATATAAAAACCGAAAACACAAACACGCTAATTTCATTCTGATGTAGGCGTCAGGCAAACAACGATTTCGTAATAGATGGCGCTTGAGTCGTTTCGCATACAATAGGTGGCGCTCGAGTGTTTCGCAAAAAAATATGAGGCACAAATTGTCTGCGGTTTAGAAATAAAATAAATTTCACAGAAGGTAAGTGAATTTATTTCAGTTACATGTTTAAGTGTGTCAGTATGTACGTATATTTGTTAACTTTCAACAAGTTTAAACAATTCCTTAAATCTCGCATTGAAATATAAATAATAATTTTCGACTACGTTTATGATCACAGTGCAATGTTACGATACTTAAAAAGGTGATTATGGTAAGATGCCGGCTTTACCACACATTGAATAATATTGTCTAGCTTGTATTGTTATTATTATTATTATTATTATTATTATTATTAGTATTATTGTTATTATTATTATTATTATTAGTATTTATTATTATTATTATTATTATTATTATTATTATTATTATTATTATTATTATTATTATTATTATTGCTATTAATATTATTAAATTACTATCGGGAAAGCTGAAGTTAAAATATACTTTGAATTATCTGTAATTATGTCTGCAATTACAAGCCAAAACGGTGAATTGTATTTTCATAGATACGCCCGGAGGCACAGGCAAAACTTTTCTCATTTCACTTTTTTTGGCAACCACAGGATCACGAAATAATATTGCACTTGCAATCGCATCTTCTGGAATTGCAACAGTTTTTTTTTTAGCTGGTGGCCGAACAGCGCAGTTAGCACTGAAATTGCCGTTGAATATACACATCACTGAGACACCAACAGGCAATATTAACATAACTTCTGCAATAAGTAAAGTACTCCATGTATGTCAACTCATTATATGGGACGAATATACTATGGGGCACAAGAAGGCTTTAGAAGCGCTTCATCGTACACAAACATATTTGAGAGAATTTTACCACCTCTTCCGTGGCACACTCATTTTATTTTCTGGTGATTTTTGGCAGACTACCAGTTATATCAAGGTCAACACCCGCCGGTGAACTTAATGAATGCCTCAAGTCATCAGTATTATGGTGACACATACAGAAATTGACGTTGAAGCCCAATATGTGCATTCAACAACATGATGCAAGCGCTGAACGTTTCGCAAAACAATTGTTGGAAATTGGGAATGGGAAAACGCCACAAACTTCTGTAAAATCGCAGCAACCACAGACGAATTGATTTAAAATTTTCCCCAATTTCGCAAAAAATTACTCAAATCAGCAGTGGCTCAGTGCACGTGCTATATTAGCAGCCAAAAACAAGGATGTATTTGCCAAGAATTTAAACATTCAAGACAAATTAACAAACGAAGTGACAACGTTTGAATCTGTCGATACTGTAATGAATCAAGTCGAAGTTTTCAATTATCCAGCTGAGTTCTTGAATTCACTTGATTTGCCAGGCATGCCACCATGCGATTTAACATTGAAAATTATCGTGCCTATCATTTCTCCCCTAAACATCAATCCGCACAACTTTGCAATGGTAACAGGCTCTCAGTGAAAAAGATGTTGATTAACATCATCAAAGATACAATTTTACATGGCAAATATAAGCAAGAAGATATACTATTGCCACTTATCCCAATGATTCCAACAAACAATTTATTTGAATTCAAACGCTTGCAGTTTCCGGTACGGCTCGCCTTTGCAATGACCTTCAACAAATCACAAGGACAGTCGCTACAAGTGTGTGGACTACATTGGAAAAATTTATTCTTTTCACATAGACAGCTATTTGTGGCCTGTTCACGAGTCGGAAAACCTTCTAATTTATTCGTGTACGCACCAGACAGCCAAAATATATATATATATATATATATATATATATATATATATATATATATATATATATATATATATATATATATATATATATATATATTGTCTATTCGAAATCACTTCAATAAGCAGAATTAAATGAAAAGCTTTTTCCTAAGAAAATAAACAAAAGAACAATGATCCCATATAATTATTAAATATTGTTATAGCGAGTTTCCTTTATATTCAATTTCTGTTGGAGGCGTAGCAAAGCCCGCATGGTACACCTAGTTATTTATATTTCAGTGCGAGATTTAAGAAGTTGTTCAAACTTGTTTAAAGTTCACAAATATTTGTACACAGTGACACACCATAAAAATATGTAACTGAAAAAAAAAAAAAAAACTCCCTTTCTTTCAGCGAAATGTAGTTTATTTTTAAACAGCAGGCACTTGTTTTCTCATAGACAGATATCCTAGACGTAACTTCATGTACTTAATGAAACTTCACAGCAACGTATCTCGGAAAATGAATGTGTATCGCCGTAAAGGATGTTTAAATTCGAATTTGAGTTGTGCATCCCGATACTGCGCATGTACAAAGGTGCATTTAACGAACATTTAATGATATGTCAGTGTTGATGTTTCGCTGGGGGAGGGGGGGGGGGGGGGGGGGGGGTGACACATTAAAAAATTAGTATTCGACTAAATTCGATTCTACTGACGAGGAAACGCATAGAAACTACACAGAAAATGTTTTGAAAAGCCAGTAGACCGGTAAACTATATGAATCATGTGTCAAAACGACTCCAGACCCATCTATTGTGAATTGGTTACTTGCTTTACGTCTCAAAAAAACCAGCGTGTTTTCGTTTTTAGATTTGTTTCGAAAATTATCATAGACACTTATTTCAGACTATGAGAGGTAGCGTCCCTACATCAAAACATATATATCCTATAAATTTCAGCTAAATCGGTTCAGTTGTTTCCGAGTCTATACGACATAAACAGACACACGTTGATTTGTGTATGTATAGAAGAGCTTATGCAATATATCCATGTCATTAAAAAAGCAGTTTGCTTGCTACATACATCCAGTTTTAACATACGGCTGTGAGTCCTGGACAATCGGTAGGCAGGCCAAACAATTGCTGTTTGAGATGTGGTTTACAGAAGAATGTTTAAAATAACGTGGACAACCAAAAAGAGCAACTCAAAGAGGAGAGGTCCCGAAGACAACGTATCACAGACATCAGAAGGAGACAGTCGTTATTTTTCGGCCATGTTATGAGATGAGGGAAAATGAAACATGTTGTGACCACTGGAGAGATCTGTAGAAGGAGGGACAGAGAAAGACAATGAGAGAAGATTCCTGACAGTCTTGTTGCATGGCATAGAGGTGTGTCAGCACACAAACTGATACATGCTGCAGGAGATAGCAGATTGTGGAGAGGCATGATTGCCCACACCAGTCGGCAAGGCACGTGATGACAGACGTAAATAGATAAATATCATGATGACACTTCTGATGTGCAATGGGTCTGCTTTAAATACAAAACAAAGCTGGATACACAAGGGTTATAACAAGTAAAATATGTGGAAGATATCTCCAGCCGAAGATACTGCAGATTGAAGGGCTTGACCATGTAACAAGACTGGCAACAGACAGCACTGCAGAGAGCAATGCTACAAAGATACAACCGTAACAGAACCAGAGGTCGACCAAGCAGAAAATTGACGGCGGAAGAATACCAATGAGTATTAGATACGAAGTGAACAGAGAGGACCGTTCCAGTGATCTCTGGTTGTACTGGCGATGCGAAGCATTACAGGAGTAAAGAAAAGACTATACATCAGTGATCTCTAACTGTCCTGACTCTTCTAGGCATTACGGAAGTAGAGAAAAGACTATACATCAGTGATCTCTAACTGTCTTGACTCTGATAGGCATTACGGAAGTAGAGAAAAGACTATACATCAGTGATCTCTAACTGTCCTGACTCTGATAGGCATTACGGAAGTAGAGAAAAGACTATACATCAGTGATCTCTAACTGTCCTGGCTCTGATAGGCATTACGGAAGTAGAGAAAAGACTATACATCAGTGATCTCTGATTGTCCTGACTCTGCGAGGCATTACAGGAGTAGAGAAAAGACTATTAATCAGTGATCGCTGACCGTCCTGACTCTGCGAGGCATTACAGGAGTGGGGAAAAGGGTATACATCAGTGATCTCTAACTCTCTTGACGCAGCGAGGCATTACAGGAGTAGAGAAAAGACTATTAATCAGTGATCGCTGACCGTCCTGACTCTGCGAGGCATTACAGAAGTAAAGAAAAGACTATACCAGCAGCGGATCAAGCAGATGCAGCTCTAGAACAAAAAACAAAAAAACAAATAAAGTAACGGATGAATGAAATGGAGGTAAAGACCGGGAGTCCAATGTGACTTATAATTAGGGCTGTGCCGAATAGTAATTTCGACTATTTGGCCGAATACGAACAACGGGACTAACTATTTGGCCGAATACGAATACGAATAGTGTATAGTGTATATAGTATATCTGTTGTTTTTTTAAAAACACATACACACATTCATAATGTCAAATGTACGCTGAACTTTTACTTCACATAAAGTAGCACAGAATAGTCATCTTCTTGTTTAGCATTCTAAGCCCTTGAGGTTTACTGTTGCAAATATCACTCCTCTCCATTTTTCTCTCTCTCTGGCCTTATCTTCACAATTTGTGACACAAGTTGTCTGCAGGTCTGGCTGGACATTATCTCTCGAACTTCTTTTTTGTCTGCCTCGTGGTCTACGCACATTCCTCTCTCAGGTGTATACAGTTTTTACTTCTCTGTCATCTTACATGCTTTCAGTATGCCCCAACCATTTTAGTCTGTTAGCTCTCATGATGCCAGTGATCAATGGTGATTTAAACAGATTATGTGTTACGCTGTTGCTTCTCACTCTCCATTCCCGGCTTTTAGCATCTTTGATGGGTCCAAAGATTTGTCGTAAGACTGTTTTCGAAAACCTGTAATAAGGCCTCATCTCTCTTTTTTTTCTGCTTCAAGTTTCAGAGCCATATAAAACGTCTCGTCTTATCAACGTTTTATATATTTTGATCTTGGTGTTGCGAGACAGACGCTTTGACTTTAGCAGATGTTGAAGGGCATAGTATACTTTGTTTCTATATTGTATTCTAGATTGTATTTCTTCTCTCAGCATGTTGGAGCAGTTGAAGTTTGCACCCAAGTACATATATGCTTCCGTTCGTTTGATTATCGACTTGGATATGGCCGGAGTTTATATTCTTTCCGTGTCTAGTTAGTATTCGTACAGAATATTCAACATTTAAAAGCATTTTATGTTTTGCATCCTTCAGTCAGTCCGTGGTAACTAATAACTAGGAATGAAATAATCCTAAGTATTATAACAAGTAACTAAACTTGGTAATTGTCACTGACAGCTTAGTTAATGCAGGAAAGCTTCATAAGCTTTCAACAAAACCAATTGTTCCATGTTGTCAGCATTAAGGCCGTGTATGCAGAAGCCGGTGTAAGATAACTACTATTGGAACTCTCCGCTGGCTGCTGAAGATGAGGACAGAGCACTCATGGGAACGACTCGTGTGCTGTGATGTTAATTTTTAACTTAACTCAAGCAGTAGTACACCTGACGAGAAGCTACGAAATATGCCTAGCAATACATTGTTTGCTATGTCCGCATTCTGTAACATCAGTAAGTTGTAGCAGTCTCTGAATTACGATATTTTAGACTTTATAAACCAGTTGTGCTCATTTTTTTTTTTTTTTTCACTTTCTCAGGATGGATTCTCTGAAGCAACACCGTCAAAGCACCGCTGGACGCCTGTACGACATCGACAACAATATCAGAGACAAAGAGCGAGAGGATCAAGAGACCATGGACAGACATAGTCACTTTCTGAGGAATGACTTTCTAGTGTTGTATGAGCATCTTCTTCTTGAATGACTAGAAAGCAGCAAAAGGCGCCCATGTCAAATCTTCATGGCCAACACCATCTAAAGCTGTATGCAGTAGGATTTCTATAATCGTGAAGTGGTTTGATTCCATAATTTGATTATTGGATCAATTGGTGTGCAGACAGGATATAAGAAGAACTTTGATATGTCTGTACTAATCTAATGTGTCCTGTACAATAGCCCGCGTTACAGGGACTTTCATTATGTTGTATAACCCTAATGGGTCTTTTATAAAACACCACAGAAGAGGAACTTTACTTATGTAAACAGGGGCAGTGGGTGTACTCCTGCACAGGGGCAGTGGGTGTACTCCTGCACAGGGGCAGTGGGTGTACTCCTGCACAGGGGCAGTGGGTGTACTCCTGCACAGGGGCAGTGGGTGTACTCCTGCACAGGGGCAGTGGGTGTACTCCTGCACAGGGGCAGTGGGTGTACTCCTGCACAGGGGCAGTGGGTGTACTCCTGCACAGGGGCAGTGGGTGTACTCCTGCACAGGGGCAGTGGGTGTACTCCTGCACAGGGGCAGTGGGTGTACTCCTGCACAGGGGCAGTGGGTGTACTCCTGCACAGAGGCAGTGGGTGTACTCCTGCACAGGGGCAGTGGGTGTACTCCTGCACAGGGGCAGTGGGTGTACTCCTGCACAGGGGCAGTGGGTGTACCCCTGCACAGGGGCAGTGGGTGTACTCCTGCACAGGGGCAGTGGGTGTACTCCTGCACAGGGGCAGTGGGTGTACTCCTGCACAGGGGCAGTGGGTGTACTCCTGCACAGGGGCAGTGGGTGTACTCCTGCACAGGGGCAGTGGGTGTACTCCTGCACAGGGGCAGTGGGTGTACTCCTGCACAGGGGCAGTGGGTGTACTCCTGCCACCCCCCCCCCCCCCCCGCCTATTCCAATAACTGAACACCAGCGTCCACAGGAAAATAGTTCAGTAAACAACTTTGACAAGTATAGTTTTTTTTCTGTTTGTGTGGGGTGTGTGTTTGTATGTGTGCTTGCGCGCGCGTTGCATGTGTGTGCGTGAGTGGTGTGTGTGTGATGTAACTGTTTACTTTATTTTAATACATTTTTATGACACAAAAGGTTCAGGCCTAAAGTCGAGAGGATTGACTTAACTGCACTGGGTTTTATTCCATATGGCTCAACTCTCACAATAACATAACATCTTGTAGGGAGTCGGCGGTCCGAAACACAAGTTTAAGGTGTCTACTTCGTGCCAAAGAACTACATGGCTGTTGGGTGAACAGTCGTTAACGAAGGCAGGCAGGTCGCTTGCTGGTGGATATAATTTCCTAAGTCCCTTTCCCAGCTAATAGTGAGGGTACTGCTGGGGTGACCGTTTTGTAACCCTCACATAATGCTTCAGGTCAAAATGGACGCTAGGCATGGCCACCTATTTTAGCCGTGGCAAATTTATTTGCCTCTGCCAGACGGTGGCCGTTGCATTTTTGCTCCATTTGTAGACTGGAAGGATATAGTTTCGTTGCCCAGCTTCTGAGATGAGTGTATGGCGTGACACTGTGAGCTGCAGATTTCATTTGAACTGTGATCAAAAATGTTTGTGTTTTTCTTTGGCACAGGAGCGGAGCAACTATGGGGTGACCCGTTTGCTATGAAGTTGAAACTAAGATTACCAGATTACACACACACACACACATACACACACACCCATCCCCTCCCCCTTTTACATTTTGTACCTATACCTTTACCTATTATTACCACAGAGACTAAGCAGCAAAATGAACAATACAAATATTAGTATTTATCAACCAAAGAAGACAAAGATCGTGCCCTTATGCTCATGTTTTTTGTCTATCGTACTAAAAGCAGTGGTAACGAAACATGTTCGCGTCTTGAAAACATCAAGAGTATAGTACTAGACTCACATTTGTTTTTAAATTGTAATCGGTCTATGATGATGTGATGTGGTCAGCTTTTGAACCATTACTTTCTGGAAAAGTCCTGGCTATCATCTGTAGACAGTCTTGAACTCGGAATCTTGATCAACTTTAAAGACCTTCCCCGCGTATGGATTACAAACCTACTATTAAATCTGTCGTCTCGATACGGGACGCAGTTTTTGCTTATTTTAAAGCCCCACCCGGGCTGAAGTCGAGGGCCCTAAAATAATCGTTGAACGGGGTTTCTGGAACCTCTACCCGGATGATCCTCATCCGCATAGTGGTACTAATGTGTCACCTGGTGTTTATCGCTTGTTGGACGTCCTGGTGGGTTTGAATCTCACGCATTAAAAACTTTAGTGCTCAACTGAGTAGAGTTAAGGTCTGTCATTACAGCACACAGAATATCACCATAAACCAGGGGTTCTCAACCTTCTTAAAGCGGCGACCCTTTAATACAGTTCCTCATGTTGTGGCGACCCTTTAATACAGTTACTCATGTTGTGACGACCCTCTAGCCATACAATTATATTCGGTGCTACTTCATAACTTTAGTGAATGTGTGTTTTGTGATGGTCTTTGGCAACCCCTGTAAAAGGGTCGCGACCCATAGATTCAAAACCGCTGCTATAAGCTCTCGTTCCTCATCGTCAGAAGTTATCGCAGAGTTTCAGTTCCGACTGTGCCAGTATCTGTCTGATTGAATGTTCGTCTTGCCTTTTTTCCTGAGTCGTTGAGTTTCGGCCAGGTCCCCTGGTCACACCCCGCATCGCCATTCTATTCACAGCGTGGTCATCTATTTCTGTCTTCGCAGTATTCACTCGACCCCAAAGGGAATTAGCAACATCTACTTTGGCATGCATCAGTACGCCACCAAGTGTGCAGAAATAACAGTATACCAGTTCGTTTCTCAACACGTCTGCTTAAAAAGCTGACTTCTGAAGTGACGCTTATGTTGTACACTTAATTTGTACATTCTTTTGTATACTTTATATTCAACCAAGTATTTAGGCCTAGGGTGCCTATTCTAGTATTCCGCTGGATATCTCCTTGATGGATGTGCTACAGTGAAGTCCTGCATTCTATAACTGGCACACTTGGCACCGACACAGCATCATGTAATACAGTCGCTACCTTTACAAGCCAACAATAACGCTTGTGAAAGGCCACATAAACTTTAATGGCATTAAAGTTACACGTCACAAGATGATGATGATTATTCAATAAAACATGTACGATAATAAATCTCCATTATCTATTCTGATGATATAAAAGATTACAGCAGCTTTTCTCAATGGGCTCCTGCCATTAAAATAAGTAAATAGACATTGAACTGTCTCCCGCAAACAACGGTAAATCAAAACCTCACAAAGAGAAAACGTTTCTATAATATCCTCATACAGAGAGCCAACACAGTTTCCGCTAACCCCGCGGAAACACGTCCGACTTGGACAATGGAAATATCTCAACTGCCGAATCCTTTGTGTTCTGCAGGAGCCTTTGTGTTAATCGCCCAGCATTCAATTAGCTGGTATCCCAGGTAACAGACCCGACCGGTGGCCGCTGTGTGAACCTTTCACCTGCGCTATGACCACTAGAAGAAACTAGAAGAAACTTTAACTCTTGGACTATAAGATTACAACAGCTTATCCCCCCCTCTCACAAACTGAAAATCTATGTTTTCAGTTGCATAATTTTAACTCTGTTGTAGTCATCTAGACAACTTATATTCGAATATACCTAGTGAAATCCACATGTAGTTAAGTGAGAATGCATGTAAACGAAATGATGATAACTTTTGTTATAATAAGAATGCATGTAAATAAAATGATGATAACTTTTAGTTATAAGACATGAAATAACAACAAGAAATACAATATAATATCATAACTGGTTCACTAATAACTCATAAGCTAAATCCACATATCATAATTACTGTCAATCCCAATAAATGGAATCATCTGTCCAAAACACTTGAGAAATTAACTAACTAAACACTTCTCATAGGTATGTCCTTGAAATATACATATCTGGATAAAGTATGTTGATACCAATATATAAGCATCCATTGCAGTGTAGTGAGGTATAAAAATTCCAATGTGAAAAGGAACTGATTGTCTCATGATGTACAAGGAAATCTGGACAAATAGTCAGCAAGTACGTTCTCCTTACCACTCCGGTAGATGATGGTATAGTTAAAAGTCTGAAGAAACAATGTCCAACGAAGAATACGGGCATTTGTTACAGACCCTGTGTTCAAAACAGCAAGTGACTTGTGGTCTGTAATTACATAAAACGTTCTCCCTATTAGGTACCTGGAGAATTTAGCGATGGACCAGTAAATTCCCAGTGCTTCTCTCTCTCCGACACTATAGCGTGTTTCAGTGTCGGACAATTTGCGACTTGCATAGAGGCAAGGATGTAAAGTCCCATCGTACATTTGGGAAATTACTGCTCCCAGTGCGACATTTGAAGCATCTGAGGAAACATAAAAATCAAGTGATAGATTAGGCAATCTCAGAAATGGTTTATTGTTAAATGTTCTTTGTATCTGGCTGAGTGCTTGTGCGCAGGATTCATCCCAAAACACCTCTCGAGGCATCGTCTTTCTTGTCAACTCAGACAACACAGATGTTATAGAGGAATAATGGGGAATAAATTTAGCGTAGAAGTTCTTAGACCCAAAAATGATAGCTCATGAAATGCTATCTGGACTTAAATAGGTGCCTATCTCTGTCTATGTGTTTCTGCTGTGCTCGTGTAACAGCATTGGCCACTGTGTCATTGTCATCGTTCCACTTCTTAATATCTTCTGTTGTGCAAGCTCGCACCCCTGGAACTGTACCAAGAATGATATCTGGTGAACACCGGTTTACAACACATACCTCTGCAACTCCGGTAAAATGGGGACATCTAATTTTCACAATCGCAAGTGGATATTTTTCAAGATTTCCACCGAATGTGCGGCATTTAGCATATCTTCCTGTATATGCAGATGAAGGAACTAAGTATCTTGCCACGCCAATAACATTCGCACCCGTGTCCCTCAAAACTGTAGATCTAACCTTGCCAATGTACCCAAAATGGAG